GTAGAGGACACAGCTAGAAATGTTCTGTTCGTTTAACAGATTGTGCTTGTGAATTTCTTGCATGAATGTTCTAGATTTGAGGATTTCTTAGGAAATAAGTGGCTACTGCAGAGGTCTTATGTGATTCTGGGTTCTTAAAGGGCGATTTATGTTGTCCCACTAGCTTCTCCCATGCACTGAGCTCTGATATTTTGACCCAAACCATTGTCCCCTTTTTTTTGCACCCAAGCTCCAGCCAATCAGAGTCAGGTTTAACTCAGCCAAATCAGGTCGTACACAACCAAAAACTACAGTACCGTCTTTATACAGGATTATTCATGTGTAGCTCTTAGATTCAGCTGTAGCTTCATTATCAAACTGCAGGTATCTTATCATCTCTGTTTATGTTTAACTCAGATTACCCTTCATATCACCCATAGTCCAAAACTCATGTATCACCAGTCAGTCTACAGCTGAGCCTGCTTGCTACACTTGAAGAGAAACCCATAGCCTTAGCCAGGCCCACTCTGTAAGGAATACAAATCCAGTCGGTGTTATTGTATGGCAACACATCAAAAGCTATGCAAGGTTTCACACAGAAAGGTTCTGGGCTTGGATGACCTTAATTAACATACCACATCACTGTTTGCATGTATTTTTTTTTTTTGTTGCCTTTTGTCTTTATTTGCATAGAAAATGTGAAAGAATGCAAACGTGATATCCATTTTGTTTACATTTTTGGATACTTTTTGTATTTCTTTATGATCATTTGATGGTTGTTTTTTTTAATCTTTTATATTAACTTGGGTTTTATTTTTTCCATCAAATTTGTACAAGAGGATTAGGGCCATTATAATATTAGTTTGTTTCGTCCTGAAATTTTTTCCTGGGCAAAAAAAGTCAGATTTCAGTCAGAATTCTTGAACTGGGGGATCAAAGACAAAATTATTAGATAAAAGTCTGAATTTTGACTTTGAAAAATGTCAAAATTCTGTCTCTAATCTCAGAAATGTGATGTCAGAATACTGACGCAAAAAGTCTGTATTTTGAAAAATAAGTCAGAACTCAGGAAAAAGTCAAAACAATGAAAAATTCAGTGGCCCTAATACTCTACCGTAAATCTATCTATTTATGGGTTGATATTTGTTGTGAGTGGGAAAATGTTTTCCTGGATAAACACATACATGTTTCACTATCAGGGTCTACCAAGCATATGAGGCCTGTTGTTGTATGTATGTGCGGCATGTGTATGAGTGTTCAGATTACTGCATGTATCAGTAATGCTTCATATGCTTTTTTCTTTTTGCCAAAGTTTTACTTGCTTGGTCCAGAGCTGGGAAATTATCATTACTCATCATGGTTCTGTAGAAATTGAGACCAGACCAAGTTTCTACCAGATCTGAGTCCAACAACAATTTAATTTTTTTTTTAGTACAAACACTCAATCATAGAAAACGCGTTGTGAGGATTTCAGCGGTTTGACTCAGGTGTGGATACTAAAAGCACAGTGCAGGGTCATATTAAACCTTTATGTGGATGTATCTAAAAGATGTACCATGAGCGTTTATTTTGTTTGACTCATGATTTTATACTGTGTTCTTCAGCTTGGAAAATAAGTAGCTTTAGAGGTTTCAATGTGCAAAGTATATTTTATTTCTCGTGATTGGCATTTTGATTGTAAATACCTTTTTCTGGTAATCCTCAGTTGGATCTATGTTCAATGACTTTGCTTAGATGGATCTTTCAAATGTAATGATCGTAAATGTTCTTTATAAATATCCAGAATGTAAGACGAGAGAAGAAAAATCAGCTGGAAACTGTGTTTTTTGTAGGAGTCTGTGCCATCGTGTTGTCTTGAGTATAAGCACACTGATACTAGATCTGTAGGCAGTATGAGGTTACAGAGGTGATCGGCCAGACAGCCCACAAGGTTTTGGTGCTTTTTAGGACACATTTTCACCACTCCCTAAACTGTAGGCTACATGAACCCTGAGCCGACAGTCGATTAGCTTAGCTTAAAAGTGGAACAAGGGAGAAAATGGTTAGCTAGCTAGCTAACAAGAGCTAGCTATGTTCAAAGCTGAACTCTGAATTCTAACTTTTGGGACCTAATGCAGTGCACTAAAAATGAAATAGAAAGTGCATTCAGAGTTGGAAAATATATCCAGGAAATAGTGCCTTTAGAAATTACACGATGGAACAACAAACAATCTAACAATGCTAGCTTTGCCATTTGCAGAGAGAAAAATATAGGACAGTAAATCTTAATATGCCACTCATTGCTAAATGAGCTCAAATCTATTTTATAGGGAGTTTCAGTGAGGGGATTGGTGTCGGACACAGTCCATTTGTATTTTGTCCCTGTGAGCGGAAAACACAGGAAGTCACTGTGCCTAGCTAAGATTTCCAGCACGTAACTCCTGGTAAAAACACCTGTCTTTTTTATATTTCTGGTCTTTAACAAATTAAGTTATTGAGATTTAAAATGTTAGTTTAAATCATTAAGAGTTGCTGATAGTTGCTGTTTTCTCCCCATTTCCAGTCTTTATGCTAAGCTAAGCTAACCTAGCTGTCCTCAGGCTATACTGTAGCTAGCATACAGACATGAGAGTGATATCTATAGCCTCATAGAATCATCTGGTGGTGAAAAAGAAGAAAAAAGTAATTTTTCTGAAAATGTAAAATTCCTTAAAACAAGTCATAGCAATGATTTGAAACAAGCTGATTTGAGAGGTTTATTTCTTAGCATTTTGGAGAACCAACCCCTTTAGTACAATAGTTAAAAAACGCAATTTGAGGAGTCCATTTGTGCGCGATTAAATAGCCTGAGAAGATGCTTATGTTTGCAGAGTACAATGACATATATTAGCAGTTAAAACACAGAACAAACACTTGTCTTGCTCATTGTACTGAAAGCAGGGGCTGTCTGACTAACACCTCTTAACTCCACTGTACAAGTGATGGCGACTGTCATCGGCTCATAAAAACACCATTCAGGAATCTTCTAGTCTATGGGGGGGAACCACAAATACACTTCGAATGTTTCTGACCATCCACAAAGGAATCAGGAGAGAAACAAGAAAGCACATGGGTGTAACACTTGTATTATTTATGTACTCTGTGTCTACGATAGTAAGGTATTCTGGCAAAGAGTTGAATGATATTTTCAATGGCTCCAGGTGGCCAGCATTAGGAAAATGTGTTATTTTTGTTACAATACCTCCGGAAAATAAAGTCTATTTATCTGTGAAGAGACAAAGATTTACAATAAAACAGATGACTACAATGAAGTGGTGACAGAGTTTAAATTATGTAGAACAGATATAAATGAAAACATGTACAGTTCATTTTGTTTGAACAAAAAACAAAAATGTATACGCGTCAGTATTGAGTTTGATTTTATATCTTTACCATTTTATTACATTGTATTGTTGTGACTGCGATGGAGAAAAAAAAATATAAAGGAATATAAATTCATTTTTTCCAAATGTGTGTCGCTTTTCCTTTGCATTTGCATTTTGTTACACTGGATATGAGTTTGTTTCAATTGACACACAAAAGTCCAATGCTCAATCAATTTACTCATTTTCAAAGTTTTATTGACACCAAGGGAAACTGTCGTAGACCTTCCATGATTTGGACGGAACCAAGAAGGTATTTTACACTCCTTCCGGACCAAAAACAAAAAAGGGTAACGTTGATGACCAAATACATTAAAAGTGCATATTACATAACGTACTGTACCTTTAAAACACTGGTTCCGCACCTTGAGTCCAGTTGTCAAAATTAGATGCACACATATTAACTTAAAGGTCACACATTATGCAAAATACACTTAACCATGTTTCTCTCACTCTAATATGTGTCTCTAGTCTGTCTACAAACCCCCCAAATGATGAGAAAAGTCCATCCTCTTCGTCTTTTCACTGCTCTACTTTTAAGAAAATGTGTGCTCAAACAGGCTGTTTGGAGATTTTCCCTTTGTGACATTACAAAGGGCAGTAACCCCTCCCCCAGGTGGGTGACACTCCCACAGCAGTACAGTACAGTAGGTGTTTGTTCTGACTTCTGAGTCTACCTTTCTTCAGGGCATGGAGCGAGATAACTCAAGCCCTTCCAGAGAGGGGGCGTGGTCAGACACAGCTCATTTTTAAAGGTACAGACACAGAAACAGCCTGTTCTGAGCAGGGCTGAAATAGAGGGTTCTAAAGGCATAATAAAAAAACAACGACTTCTTTAACTTATCAAAAAGGAGGATAATATGTGACCTTTAAATAACATTAAAACACTTACTGGATCGTGTGTGTGTGTGTGTGGGCCCAATCTGTTGGGATTTTATCAATTAAATCAATTAAAATTAATAACTTTGGATAGCAATGTATTCTCTTTTTTTTTGTGACTGTCCTGGGGGCGACTCAGCTTTTCTTAGATATAAGTAGAGGGTGCTCAAGGGAACCACTGCTTTAAAACATTCAAACATTAAAAAATTATCACAAAAATAAAATAATAATAAATAAAATAAGCACAAAACATGAGAACATCATCTTGATGCTGGTAGCTTCTTCGCTGCATTTCATATCACACCTCTGGCGTGAGTTTTTACACTGGGACTGCTTTATGGCACAAATTTTCACGTCTCACAGAATGGTGCAAATTAAGAGGCATGACTGTAATCAATTATTTTTTAAAAACATCCTTTTCAAGTAAATCGCAAAATACGTATACCGCCACAAGAAATTGCTTAAAAAGACTACAAACATGGCGTCAGTTCTTACACGTTAGGTCAAACCCAGCTTAAAACAGCATGGCGTTCTAATAGTAATGTATATTTTCGAATAATTCAGACATATGTTGTTTCTTTGGAAAAACATTTTTTTTACCGTATCAGCTGATACGATAACAAGTGTAAACTGTCAATTATAGAGCTGTTTAACAATTAACACAAACATGGTGGTACGTAGATGTCTTTTTGAAAGATGGAGCTCTTTGGCAAAGAGGAATACGCTTTATAAGACTTGTGATAATATGACAAACTTTAATCTTTGGCTTTGGTATTTTTATGGCACTGCCTGATGGAGAAAGTTCCATCAGACGCTTAAAAATATGAAACTTATCATACATGATAAAGGTTACAAATCATTCACTGAATTTAATAAGCTATCATTTTTTTTTTTAAATCAAAACAATCCAGTGTGAAGCTGTCCCACAAGATCCTTCAAATAACTACCACACGGCTTATTTCACATAAAACAAAATCAAGTTTTCTCATGGTGAATATCACCTTGTTTCATCTGTGTGATATCTTAGTAAAAGTTTTATTACAAACATTATTTTATCTACAGGCTTATATGGATAGAAATCAGCCTCTTCAGAATAGCCATTTCCCTTTACTGCAGCTTTAATAGCAGTTATTCCCTTTAATACAAAAATGTATTTGTAAAATGTATCACCCTAAAATGCAGTTTTTGATAAACTGATTAATCGAGCCTAAACTGGATTATTCCAGACTGTAGGACTAAAAAAAACAAAAAACAAGATACCAACATTTACATTTAGCTTTCCTCCGCAGTGAGATGTAACATAAATATAAATATGACCTACTGGCTCCCTCTGCTGGCCAACAGGGACAGTACAAATACGCGCCTTTTATTAAAAAAAAAACGATTCCTGCAGAAAAACTAAAATTTCAACAATAAAAAGAGACGTCAACATTTCCCTTCAATTCGCTACATTCCAAAAAAAATGTAAAAAATGCTGCTGGCTTCCATCACATTATCAAGTCCATTGTAACAGAGTTTGAAGAAAAGTTATGAACAGTCAGTACCAGTCAGCTGACCCTGCAGTTGTAATGGTTTAAAAAAATGGTGACAAACTCTTTGTCTTGTTACATTTTCAAAGTATCGCCCACTTTTTCGCTCACCGGGCTTTGTGGAGAGCGTGGTGGTTGTCGTTTTTTGTGAAGCTGTCCGTCCCCCTTCTTGATGCAGTGTCTCCCCGTCACCATCATGTCAGACACTGCCATGATCCATCTCAAAGCTGTTCTCTGACATCTGGTGATAAGCCAATGAGCGCCGCCGGTACACCAACCTGAACACAACTAAAGAAATAAGTGTTATTCTGATGGTCAGTCGCAGGCAAAGAGTGAATAAAAAAAAGCAAAACAACATTCATAAATATACAGCATAAAATAAGAACTCAGGTACGTTATGGAGCAATCACACTAAAGCTGAATGCAGCTTTAACTCTACAAACTCTTCACAGTTAATGTCTTCTATAAGCAACAATCAATCCAGTCTTTCAAACAGGGGCGGAGCCAGAGGGGGGGCCAGGGCCACCCTATAGAGGCCACCCCAAAATCCTAAACGATGATTAGCTATTCTCCTTGTCAGAGTCCAACAATCATCTTGTCTGGATGTGTTTCAACAGGCTGCAAGTAGCTTTCTCTGCATTTCAGTGTCCCTTGATTAGTACTTTGAATTTTGACTTTGGACATACATGTTCTTAATCATGTAAGCTTAATTCTTTAATTGTTGACAGTTGGTGTCTTACTTTGTTAAAATTGTGCAAACGAAAGTAACATCTTTCCGATATGTTAATGTTTGTAGTTAGAGGAGATAGCTAGCTAGCGGGGACAGAAAGGTAAATACATTCTATTAATTGGTGTATGTGTATGTTTTGTTTTAGACAGTTATGTAAACGCACAATACTGTTAGTTATCGGTCTTTTGGTAAAGCCTTGTTTTGGTTTAATTTCAGTTTTTTTTGTATTTTTTTTTTCATTGGTTTTTTTAATAATAATAACTTTGCTTCAGGCCACCCCTACATAATTCGGGGCCCCAGTTGGGCCAGTCCAGTTCAAAATGTCTAGCTTAGCCACTGCTTTAAAAAAAAAAAAAAGCCTGATCTGATTGCTCTTCACAGCAATGAAACCGCACTCTCTTTTTACATGTCTATCCACGTTCCACTTGTTTTTCCTCTTAACACCACTGGTGCTTTTCAATGCAGAGACTGTGTGGAAACACAGCATCACATAGATGTATTTATTCAGACTTACTTGGAAACACAGCATCACATAGATGTATTTATTCAGACTTACTTGGAAACACAGCATCACATAGATGTATTTATTCAGACTTACTTGCAACCGTGATGACTAGCAGGAGGAGGCCCACTAACAGCAGGATCGTCAGCACGACATCCCAGCGGGTCTCAGCAGCTAGGAGGCACCGGGCCCGGGTCAGAGTGCCATTATTTGGCCGCGGAGGCATTGACAGCAGATGGCACATGAGCGGGTAAATGTCCACGCTTTGTAAACTGCTGATTCGATAACCTTGACGAAAATTAGGCCCCGTCGCTGCCAAGAAGGGGTGCATGCTAGGTAAGCCGTTGTCGTAGCCATGTTGACCCACTAGTGGTGGGAGAGAGAGAGAGGGAGAGAGAGCTGATAAGTGGAGGGCCTGTGAGGTGCTTATATACTGTATATAACATGGACGTTGTGTAAGTGATGTCACACGTCCGGTTTTTGAGGCAGAGTTTAAAAACCAGACGATGATGTTAGCCATATTGAAAATGCCATCGTAATCCTAACTTCTAGTTTGAGTACCTCAAGCTTACTGGCAAACCGCTATAAAACAAACAACTGTTAGTGGAAATCAGTCATGCATGTAATTAAAAGGGATACTTTTTTTTTTAATCTTCCCCTCTACATTTTTTGGGAGTAAAGAAATGAGCTGGAGACAAAAGCTGTTCTTTGAAACAGGATGTAATATGTTTTTTTCTTCTGTAAATATGGATATGTTTACATTGGACCTAATGGAGATTCCTTAGCGTTTGCAGTCAGCCTCAAGTGGACACTTGATGAACTGCAGTTTTCTTTTCAGTTTTTTTTTCTTTTTATGACAAATGAGGTTGTGGCATGGTCTTGTGGTGTTCAAATGAAATCATGGACCCTCCTTGTATCTTGATGTAAACACCATTTTAAAGGAGCAGTCCAACATTTAGCGAGTTTTTTTTTTTTCATGTTACATAATAATATTGATTGAATGATTAAATCTGCTAGTTTAGATACAAAAAGTTCAGCAAAAATACATTGTCCAACATCTTGAGAAGAATCAATGTTCATTTTTTAGACTTACTTGTATGTCTATATGGGACGACTTCTTTTTTTGAAATATATATATCGTTATAAATTTGAAACGTCTTAGAAAGTAGTCATAATGGGCATAACCTTTTTTTCATAATTATTGCTTATTCGGCAGTAATAATCACTAAAAATAAAGCAAGAGTGAATAACAACTGACATTAAAATGTGTCCTTGGCCAAAGCTCTGAAATTAGGACTAATATTATCATGTTGGAAAAACAAGCAAAATACGCACATTTTTCCAGCTTGTTCCCACGCTGCACTATGGTCCAGCCCTCGTCAGCAACCACTATGATCGGCTGTAGGCGTATGTTGTGGCTGTAATGTAACCTGTCGGGGATGTCCTCTTTCAAATACGCTTTTATATGAGCGTGGCACTTATTCAGCAGGGTCACCATGGCCTCTGGATCTGCAAAACACACGCAGTGAAATGGGAACCAAAAACAATCTTCTCATTTATCATGAATAAAGCCTAAAAAAATGTTTTTTAAAAAGCTGCGCTGAACCTGGTTACCTTCATTTGGGAGAATGGCTGCCACAGGTGTGAGGTCCACCAGCGTGTAGCTGTCTGGTCGGAGGCAGTCGTCCAGCCGTATGAGGCGCTCTGTGGAGCACTGAGCCATGCCATGGTCGCTGGCTATCAGGACATTGATGTGACCCCAGAGGCCGGTCCGCTTCAGCTCTGAGACCAGTAGGCCGATGTTGTCGTCAACCTGAACTCAAACAAAGAGACACATCTGTAAAGAATACGCTCTATCAAGCAGGTGTTGTGTACAAAAACAGCAAAAATCTATTTGGGAAAGCAGCAAAAGTTTCTTCTTCACACATGTCCCTCACAGCAGGAAGTATTTGGAAGCTAGCCTGAAATAAAACATGAAACTGAAAGAAAAACGTGTTTTTTTTTTTCGCTTTCTGCAATTGTATTTTATCCCTGTTGCATTTATAATTGCACTCTATTGATAACTGAACTGTTTTGATGTTCCTCTCTTTATTTCTAAAAGCCTCCTGTGGTAATGTCTTGCAAATTAGCATTGTGCTATTAACACTAAGAGCAGTACATCCTGATTGTGCATGGTTAGATGGTAAAGCACCGACCTTACTGTATGTCCAGTGTTTTTTTGTTATTTGTTAAAAATAGAAATTTGAAACCAGTTACTAACATTCTGTGTCGTGTGTTTTAATGAATTCTCCACCAGTTCCAAGAGTCTAACCTCACATCAGCCCTGTACACATTAATTTGTAAAATCTTTTTGATGATTTGTTATTTCTAAATACATATTTTATTTAAACTAAATGTTGTATCCTGAGTGTTACATGCAGCTGTGGACATGCATTAGTGGAGAGATGTCAGAGTGAGTCTGCTACAAGCTGCAGTGCTCGGGAAGTGCCCTGGCACCTCTCCAGCTACCAAGACCACCTTCCAGATTTGGTCCGCACCGGGACTTGAACTGGTGACCCTCCGGTTCCCAACCCAAGTCCCTACAGACTGATCTACTGCTGCCCTATATACCAGTGGAAGATATTGAATTTTCATTTTGAAGGGGGGATATGGGGGTAACCGTAAATCCAGAAAAACATCAGGGAGATTGGTTGGAAAGTCAACCAAGGATGGATTCCTATTTTATTAATGATCACATAATTTATATCATATCAGTCCAAAGCACCGGAATCATGCTGTGACGCTTTGCAAGGCATCTGACACCCCCCACTGTCGTTTGCTAGATTTGCACAATTTGAGGCAATGCTTTGGTTTCAAAGTTTGTCAGCTGTTGGCTACCCCCCCCACCTGGCCTGGGGCCCCAAGCAGTTGCCTGCCTTGCCTGTTGACAAGCAGCATCTCTGCTAGGGCAAAAAAAACATTTTTCAAATGTCTGTACCTCCTTCAAAGCTTTTGCCATCTCTGTGGTGTTGTCAGGGCCGTAAAGGTGGCCTGACCTGTCTGGCTCCTCCCAGTAGAGAGCCGCAAACTTCACTCCTTCCTCCTGTTGGGATGAGGGATATGAAGAAGGTGTCACACAATATTTACTGCTTCATTCAAACATTCTGTTCACCACTGACCAGTAGAAGTAGTTTGTGGTGTGATAGAGAAAATGGCAGTCGGTTCCTGAACGGCTCTAAAAGAAAATAAGGAGTGGAAAAACAGCTTTTAACTCCTCTACCTTTCCGTCTCCAAGAATCCAGTTTGTAACATTCCCCACGCGTTGCCCAAACGTCACACTGGGGTCGTAGGGCAGGAAATGCGACGGCGTGTGGTTTCTTATCGCTACATCCGAGCCGGGCCACATCACCCCTGCCGTCTTGTAGCCATAGTCCAGAGCTGTGACCCAGAGGGGCTCCGCCTCGCTCCACCACCACGGGTCATTTTTTTTCCCAACATGGAAGAACTTGCGGCTGACAGGGTCGTACATGTTATTGGCGACTATACCGTGAGATTCGGCGTACAGCCCGGTAACCTGGACGGGGAAAACAAAGAAGAGTTAGACTTTTTATAATCCAGGATTATGCTTCTACTCCGCTTGACTTGATTTGAGCTAATATCTACAATAGGGTTGCAAAATTCCGGGAATTTTCAGAGTTGGAATCTTTCCATGGGAATTAATGGGAATTTATGGGAATAAACAGGAATAAACGGGAATAAACGGGAATTTATGGGAATAAACAGGAATAAACGGGAATAAACGGCAATTTATGGGAATAAACAGGAATAAACGGGAATAAACAGGAATTTATGGGAATAAACGGGAATAAACAGGAATTTAAGGGAATAAACGGGAATTTAAGGGAATAAACGGGAATTTACAAAATTGAAGGTTGGCCCAATAACAGGGAATTTAAATATAGTTGGAGAAAATATATTATAACATAATCTTCGACTAAAACAACCAGATTTCATGCTAGTATACTTGAATATCTCTGCTATTCCTCAATCACACACACTGCTTACTGCAGGGCTATTTAGGCCACGCCCCCTACCTGCACTGTGCACTCCTCCATCACATGCACACATGATTTCTAGAACCCTGGACCACACTGTTGAGCCCACAGCACAAAACTGTTGAAGCCACACATTTTAGCCTGTTGACTACATAAAGTGAAGTAAGCTTTGATGACATTGTAATGGCAATTTTCCAATTTATTCCTTTGCTCCAATTATTGCCATTAATACACAGGTAGGGGTGAAGTCTTACGCAGATGCAAACAATGATTTTCCAGCCGTTATTAAAGTTGAGTTGAAGGTTTATTGAAGTGACTTGATGGAGATATGAGAACAAAAAACATACCATTTCCAGTGAAGCATAGCCAGTAGAATGATTGAATTGTAGTTTGTCTGAGTGCTGGTCTGAAACATGAATGCCGGTCTGGTGAGAACTGTCTGTGCTCCCCGCACCTGTGCCCTCCCTTTCCTGTCACCTGTGCTACTATATATACACGCCCCTGTGCATTCAGTGTCCCTATTGGAAAATGATATATTCAGATAAATCTAATTATAAAACATGCCAACGATAAAGACAAAATGGCTCCTACAGATATTATAGGGTAATATATTTTAAAAGTTTGATGTATGGTATTAATGTTCAACTTGCAAATATCACATAAAAATGCATTGATGCAGTAATTAGCTAGCTGATTAGTTAGATGCTAAATAAGCTATAGCTAGCATCACTTCATTTACCATTTATGAGGCCATCTATGACAAAACAAAATGTTTATATTTATGCTTGGATATGATAAAGTTCGATTAAATTACCCTCAATTTCCAAATAATTCCCATAATTTCAGAATTATTATTATCAAAATTTACCGGAAGTTTTCCACCCCTTTGCAACCCTAATGTACCATATTTTGAGGTTTCATCTGTACAGTTTGTGTTTCATTCTGCCCACACCCCCATACACACTATTAAGTGGTTAAATCCGATAAACAGCTGGGGGGAGTAGCAGGGTTACCAGGCTGTAGTGGTTTGGAAACGTCTTGGTGATGAAGACGTTGGTGAGCTCCTCCACCAGGACCCCCTGGTTGTACAGGAGCTTCAGGTTCAGCATCGGGAACCTCTGCAGGTAGTCTGCTCTGAAGCCGTCGAATGACACTAGCAGCAAAGGAGGAGGACCTCGCTGAGCTGTTACCCCACACAGGAAAGCCAGCAGCAGTTTAAGTAACATCCTAAGAGGAAGTGAAAGAACATTTTTATCTACTATCACATGCTGTTTTAAGTGTATGCTAAATACTAATGCTCTGTTTACCACAGCTAATCAGTGCTGCTATGTGCTACATGCTTACATCAGGCTGCCTAGATTTTCACTGTAGAAGATATAATGTGTACCATGTCCAATATTTAGTTAAGGAAGATGTTCATATGCAAACATTTGTTTAATTTAATGTCGTTAAAATTACACGTCAATTTTTTTTTTTTGCAACTAGAGTTGTCACAATACCTGAATTACTTCAACATAGATATAGAATAGAATAGAATTACTTTACTGATCCCAAACTGGGAAATTGTGATGTTACTGCAGCAGGTTATCAGAGCAAATAAAATAATGTAAGAATAGATACATAAATAAGCACTTAAAATATAGAAAATAAGAATAAGAAGAGATCAATGATTTAACTACCATAGCACCAAAAAGAGATATCTGGTGTTTAGACCTAACTGAATAACTTTTTTTTTTAATTATTATTATTTTTTAAGGACATGAATTCATTTAATCCCGGATGCAGCCATTTGACTGCGGTCAAACCAGCCGCTAAATTTGAAGTGCCCACGTATTCTGATCTTTATGGTAAATGCTCCGGACTGCAGAGCGAGCAGGAGTAACAGACAGAGAGAGCGAGTCTGTTATTAATCTCCTTTTTTTAAATAAAGTGATAAATGCAGAAGTCTTACCATAAAACTGACTATGAGATACACGTGTATGAAACTGGAGCAAACAAAATACTGTTCAGGGAATAGTTTCGGAGGTCGGTGAAATTAGTTTGAGAATAATACTGCGAGTCTGCGGTAATTTCCGTTTTTCAAAATAAGGTGTTTTCCTGGGAAGAAAATATAAAAATATATGATTCTGATATGGTTGGACTTCTTAGACTACATGCTACAATCCGCTGTCAAAGTCCATAATAAAGCACTATAATTAGTATTGTTTTATGACTTTGATGTCTTGTAAAAAAAAAATCCGTCCATAAAAAGAAAATGATTCTGATATGGTTGGACTAAGTACTTCCTAGACTACATGCATAGGTACTATGAAGTACTTTTACTGTGTACTTTTTGAGAAATCCACTGTCAAAGTTCTTTATAAATCACTATAATGAGTCTTTTTTATGACTTTGATGACATTTCTGAAGTTAAAGGTAGGCCTATATAAATGTGTAGAACAATTTTTGATGAATTAACAGTTTTTTGAAAAGGGCCTCAGGGTTTGAGAAAATAACAGGCTCATTATTGTGCTGTATTATCTCAGAAAGTACACAGTAAAAGTACCCAAATGTACTTATGGAAGACTTTGTTTTTATATGACATCAGAAAAATAAGACTAAACAATATGACATATAATGGACTTTGACAATGGATTTCTCAAAAAGTACATAGTAAAAGTACTTCATAGTACCTGTGCATGTAGTCTAAGAAGTACTAAGTCCAACCATATCAGAATCATGGTATACTTATGTACGAACATATATATAATTATTGTTTTCTCCAAGAAAACTGTTTTTTTTAATTGTGAACACCTTATTTTGAAAAACGAAAGTTACCGCAGACTCGCACTATTATTATTCTCACACTAACTTCCCCGACCTCTGAAGCTATTCCCTGTACTGTATTCTGTTTCCTCCCGTTTCATGCACTTGTATCTCAGTTTTATGGTAAGACCTAGACATTTAGCACTTGACGTCATCGCTCTCTCTGTCTGTTACTCCTGCTCGCTCTGGAGTCCGGAGCATTTACCATAAAGATCAGAATACGTGAGCACTTCAAATTTAGGGGCGGCTCACTTCATGTAAACTCGAGGAGCGGCTGGCTTGACCGCAGTGCCATTTGCTTCCTATGTTAGTGTTACAGTCACTCATTGGCATCCACCTGAAGTAGTCTACAGTCAATAAACACAAAAAACAAACCCAGAAGTCACTGTGCTAACACAAAACTGCCCAAAAAAATACGACATTTCAAACACTTCTTGTAAAAGTTAAACTTATAATGGGTTATGTCGATGCCAAAACATAGGGAAAGTGGTATAAGCATTAACTTGGTAGCGTTTTTAAAGGTTTTTAAAAAAGCATGTTGCTAACAGTCTGTCCAATAACGTTACCTGTTACATCCAGTTTTCCTCCAGCTGAATTACTTTTCCATTTATTCTATGCTGTGTGGGCACCATCATCGTTTGACTTCCTCGACATTTACCAAGACTATTGTTGTAAAGCTAACAGTTTTACCAGCCGCTCCGGTATGCCCTTTCAAAATAAAATCCCTTCTTAAACGCCACACACCGTCAGCTATTTTCCTTCTCAGTATGAAGGCATCTTATAGAGAATCATATACCTTCTGTTTGATTAACAAGCTTTAAAAGCGTAATCTTTAATGAAAAGCGGTGTCCTTATACTCCTGTTATGATCAACTTGATCTAACTTCTATTTAAATACATTGGCAGTACAATCAGCGTATCCGCGTTCATATTGCGGGAGGAGGCGGGGCAACAGGTGTGACCGGTTTTCTTGTTGAACTCGAGGTGTGGTTGAACCGGTTGAACCAAAACGAAATTTGCATCTAGTTCTTCGTAAAAAAAAGAGGGTATCTTCAAAACTTTCAAGAGTTTTTTTTTTTTGAAAAATCACATGTTTAAAAAAAACAACCTAATGAGATAATATCATAAATGAGTGTAGATTGGAAGTGCATGACAAATAACAACACAGTAATGCACTGCATTACAATGCAACGTTGTGCTCCAATTTGCCAAACAGGCAAAATGTTGTTTTTTCCCCACATGTGATTCCATATAGTCAGCCAGCAGTGTCATCATCATGCCACAAAAGTGTGTTTTAGTTTTTACTTCTTTGATTATTTTTTAACCAGAAATTGGCTTGCATTAATCCATACATCAGCCTTACAGTTTTGTGTGTTTTAGCCAATCATATAGCACAGCATCTTTGTTTTTAAATTGTTCAAAAATCCTACCTGAGTTTCTGACAACATTCAAATGCTGATGATGATAAAAAATTTAAATAGCCAACTCAAAGGAGAATTGATCTATTTTGAATTGAAAATGTTTAAAGGACGTATAGCCTTTCACTGCTGTAGACATCTGTTTATGAAGTCACATGTCCTGTAGCGCTTTAAAGAGCTTTATCAAGTCTGAGAATAACGCCTGGACTTTCATGAGTTAGGATTGACACTTGGATTCTAATCTATTCAGAACAAATTACAATCAGGGAGCATTGACTTCTTGGAAAGATTAGATCATTTGGAGAGGTACCATGAAAGCTGCTGTGTTTGCATTTAACATTTAAGCATCAAGCTAGATGTGACACACACTGAAATGAAAATCCATATCTCCTTATGATATAATCAAGCAAAGGAAAACATCAGCATGAAGATTTCCTTTTACTATAAAGTCATTTTTACAGGCAAAGAGTGATGATCCGCATGCAGGAGAAGCATCTTTTTTTTATTTTTACTGTTGCTATCTGACTGTTAACGGACAGCTGGATGAGTTTGTATTTTATAGAACATACACAGGACAAAATAAGCAAGAAGCAAAAAGTACAATTTTGTACACAAGGGGGCGCCAAAATTGACACAAACCAAAAGTTTCTCACAGATGCTTTTAGCGATACACTTAAAGGAAGAAGTACTCAACATCTCATCCTACTTTTTTTTTACAGTCAAATGCATCACTCATCAGTGACTGTTTGTATGACACCTACCCTGTGACAGCAGGTTCACACATTCATCATTTTGTCTAGAAATAATCGGTTTTGTCAATAATGGTCATGTGTGCTTTTACAGCTCATAAAATAATAAAATATTATTATTATTATTATATTATTATTATATTATTATTATTTATATTATTATTACAATTATTATAATTATTATATTTGTATTAATTTTATATTATTATTATATATTTTTTAATTATATTATTATTATCATTATATTATTATCATTATTATATTATTATTATTTTTTAAATTATATTATTATTATTATTTTTTAATTATTATTATTATAAAGAGGTATGCATATTCTTTACACAGTATTTCATAAACAGCTAAAAAACTCCTCACAGGAGCTTTAAAGGCAACATAAGCGAGTTCCTTACACTTAATTAAACTCAATAGAAACAACTGCCAATTAAAGAAAGTGGTTTTTTTTCAGAATTGGTTGAACGTTTGAAGATTTTCATGCAATCTGAATAATCAATCTGTATAATGTTGTATTCTCCTTTAAGGATCACTGCTGTCTTCCCATTGGCATTGACTCGCTGCCTTCCCCGTCCAAAGTCCGTCGTTGTTTTTGATAAGCGATCACACGTTGGTATCACAGCCACTCTGCAGTACACCTTGATAGCGCCACCATCTTGGCACGACCTCTGCTTGACCTCTTTTTTTTTTCCAGAATGGAGAACGTGTACGAGGACCCTGATCTCACCACCTACCAGAACCAGTCGTCAGCCGTGTACGAGGCGCCTGACGTCTCAGACCTGACGGCTCACTACGAGACATTTGTGGAAGCTGCAGGAGAAATACCTGACCCTCCTTCTCTCCCTCCACCTCACCCGCCATCAGAGGAGAGGCGAGGGAGTTCCTCCTCTTCCTCCTCGTCCTCATCGTCCTCTTCCTCGTCCTCCTTGTCCTCACATGCTGGAGATGAAGAGGAACAGAAGACGGAGGAGAAAGAGGAAGTTGAAGAGCAAAGGATAGATGTGGAGGAGCGCATCAGAGAGCTGAATTGGGGGAGGGGTTCCCCAGAGGGGGTGTTGGAAAGGAAAGACTCCTCCTCTTCCTCGTCCTCTTCCTCGTCCTCTTCATCGGCTTCTGAGAAGGATGTACCTGAGGAAAAGGACACAAATAAAGTCACGCTTTATGTGAAGGTAGACAACTCTTTGGGTTCACTTCAGTTTTATCTTAAAGGTGTGTGCGTTGTTGTGTGTGTGTGTGTGTGTGTGTGTAAAGAACATGCAATTTGCACGATCAATCCAATAGGTTGTATGCCTCATAAATCTCAGTCATAAGCATGTAAGCAGCTGCTTACAAACAAGTGTGCAAGGTCAGTGACTATCTCCAAATCCAGTGTGTGTGTATGTGTGTGTGTGTGTGTGTGTGTGTGTGTGTGTGTGTGTGTGTGTGTGTGTGTGTGTGTGTGTGTGTGTGTGTGTGTGTGAGTTGGACTTAATGATCGGGCCTGCTACAAACCTCACCTTTCACACAGGCTTCTATTTATAGGCCGTCATGTCATATTAGTGTGTGTGTATGTGTGTGTGTGTGTGTGTGTGTGTGTGTGTGTGTGTGTGTGTGTGTGTGTGTGTGTGTGTGTGTGTGTGTGTGTGTGTGTATGTGTGTGTGTGTGTGTGTGTGTGTGTGTGTGTGTGTGTGTGCATGGTGTGTGTGTGTGCATGGTGTGTGTGTGTGTGTGTGTGTGTGTGTGTGTGTGTTGCTCTTGTTCCCAATATAACCTCAGTTGGACTGACAAGAATGTTCTGACTCAATGCTGGGATGGTTCCTGTCACATGGCCATGTGAATTCCTGTGTGTGTGTGTGTGTGTGTGTGTGTGTGTGTGTGTGTGACTTAACATTTCCTGGAAAAAAAACCTTTCTCTAGTCTTGTCTATTCTGTCTATTTTTTGTTTAAATTTGAATATCTAAAACATAATCCTCTACACACTCACACAATCGCTTCATTTATGACATCATCCACACATCCCATGCTGAAGTCCATTAACCATGTGGAGTGATCATAAAGCTGAACCTTTGAAACTTTGGCCATATAAATCATAGCAATATAACTCTGAGTCATTTCATTAGATTATTGATGCCAGTGACTATACGACTGTACCTACGACTGTACTTTCAGATCAGTGTGTTATCAATGGGCTTAGCTTAAAGATATAAATCAGGTCCTGATTTTGACCTTTCATGTCGTCAGTCTGTGAAGCCTATCAAGTAAATTTGCAGCTCAGGAAACTTCAATATTTATCCTATACAGACATCAGAAGAAGACCTTAACTCAGCCTCCTTGTGCTGTCTCTTGAAGACCCTCTGTTCTCTGATTGGCCGGCTCTCTAGAAGGTCAGAACGCTGCAGGGCTGCCGGGGGGAGGGCTGCTCTCCAGTGCTGTGAGAAGACAAACAAAAATTAAAGCCCCATCTGTATTGAGCTAGTCAAGTAGAAACGTTGTCTTTATTCTCTGTTTTTAATTTTAAACTGTGATCCCTGTGAATCCCAACGTCTGAATTCATTCTTCTTTAGTGCTTCATAGAAATCTGATAAACTCCATCTTTGGTGGTTTGAAAAAAAGACTCAAACAGTTCATGAAATTCTTTTAGGTTTATAATTTGCAAGGAATATTTAAGGAAAAACATGTATTTTAATGTGTTTTTTAAATTGAGCTTTATGTCATGCTTCAGTCAATTAACACAAAATTTACCGATGAGCTCTCACTAAATGCTCCGTCTATTTAACAGTTCTGTGTCTCGCTATGACATCACTGCAGTAGTAGCACACATTGCAGCTGTGCCACAACCTCAGCATGCATCAAACCCCCCCAAGACCCCGTTCGGCGCTGCACCAAACCAAAAACATTCATGTAAAATCACAATGTAGAATTTGTCAACCCTGTCTGTAATGCCTTGGTAAGTCATATATTGGCACAAACTCCTCACAGGAGCTTTCAGCATTAATACATTTAATCAACACTCCAAAAATGTCTGTTTTAAGGCTTTTGGAGAAATGATCAAGAAATGAAATCTTAGCTTTAGTGAAAAATCTATTGAAAGCACATGTTCAAGCTTAAACACTTAACTGGTCAAATGATGTAAATCTTTCCAAACGGGTCACACATGATGAGTGGAAGTTGAAATGGTGAAAGTATTCATTTTGTTGAGGACTTTTTATATCGTTTATTCCTGTTTGTTCCTTTGTGTCGTGGCCAGCTGGGTAAAGCAGTGACACAACATGGGACCCAAAGGTGCTGATGAGTCTTGAGTTGGAAAAGGATGAGTCCTAATGATTCAAAGTCACCCGGTTGTGTTCCCAATCAGATCCTGACTACTTCAACCCCCCCCCCCCCCCTTCCCCTCCCCACCCAAGGGGGTTATTTTTTGCCCAACACTGTCACGCCCCCCCTCTGCTGAGGCCTGGGGGAACAAATTCATCCCCTCACACACACACACACACACACACACACACACTCTCTCTCTCTCTCTCTCTCTCTCCTGTTTCCACACACACTCACACACACGTCCTCAGCTGACACTCTGACACAGCTGCTATGGGACCAAGCGGACTTCAATGCATGGACCAGGAGTAAAAACGAACATACACACAAACACACACATTTACACACTTGTGGAAGGACGACTCACAGGATAGTAGTGTTTTTTTTTTTTTTCTTTCACTTGACCATGACGGATTCTGCAGCTGAGGATGACAAGGACCCTGATATTGAGCTGTTTGTCAAGGTGGGAAGTTTTATATGTGTTAGTATTTAATTAGATTCCTGCACAGACTTTACATTAACTCCACACAGCGTTCTATCGAGTGTGTATGGGTGTGTTGGGCCGGCTCCTTTGCGTGTGCATGCCATGTTGTTGTTGTTGTGTGCTGATTTTTTTTTCCGTGCTTTAACCTGACACCCACGTGCATAGACAATCTCTCCTTTTCTCTCTCTTCATGAATTATTACTGCACTCCTTTCAGTGTTCAGAGCAGCAACTTTGAATGGATCGGAAATTAATAAAGGTGATGTATTGATATACCAGAGTGAAGACTTTATGCACTTTTCTTTCTTATAGTCATTGCATATGTATATAGCCAGTGCATAGTGTAGTCAGATGATTGTATTGTGTGTGTGCTGGTTTATTTTTTGTATTTTTTGACATGACCTGTTATGCAAGAATATTTGTGAAAAATGAAAATACCACCTCTTGAAATGACTTTTTCAAGAGGTTTTTGAAAGTTGACATATCTGGGCGCAGGTCACATAGCGATTAGTGCATGCGCCCCATGTATGAAGGCTGTAGTCCTACCAAGCGGGCGGACCCAGGTTAGAGTCCGACCTGTGGCTCCTTTCCAGCATGTCATTCCTCAACTCTATACACTGTCCTAACTGTACAATAAAAGCACAAAAAGACAGAAAACAAATCTTAAAAAAATATAAAAACATGTAGGTTAATTAAAAATTGAAAAATTGACTAAACCCGTTATATATTTTATTGTTGAGTTCTTACATTATGTCAAATATTTCCAACAGTTATCAAAGCCAGAGAAATCCATAACTGTATAGTTGTAACGGTCCGTGTGTTGTCGGCAGCCGCAATGATGAGCCGCTATGACAGACGTTGATCGCTGCCAAGGAAACTCCCGATGCTACCGCCAAAACCAAATAAAGGGAAAAAACTGGAAAAAAAATCTTTAAAGAAATACAAAAAAAAGGTGGATTTTTAAAACTTTTGCAGGGAGTTAAATCAGAAAAAAAAAAACTTTAAAATTAGTATGCAACTTATGAAGATATAGCAGCCTTAACTTGGCTTAAGATAAAGTCTGGAAAGGTCACTCAGAGGGAGACTTTTGGTGTGCTTGAACCCTAACTGTGTCTTTACATTTTTGCAGATGTATTTGAATGCATAGCATCATTGCATATAAAACTGCAATTAAGAAAATGAAACACTAACTGCTCTGCAAATTACTTTTCAAATTGCATGGGAATCTATATGGGCAGCATAAAGGAGCATTGCTTATTTTCAAACAAAACAAAAAGCTCTCATGTAAAGTATACAACAGTATGTCTAGTATACATGATCAAATGTGATTTACCTACCTATGAAATCTGTCAAATCTGTGAATTTAAGGACTAGATTTCCTCTGAAATGTCCTACAGAAAGTGTCATCATCCTCTGATTGACACCATGTGTTGTGTTGTGAAAGGACAGTAGGTATATCATTTCCATAGCTGAGTCACTGCTTCAGTATTTTGGGAACAAGAAGTCCAAACAGGCAGCGAAGCGACTAATGGAAGCAGTGTAGATTATTCATGTTGTACGAGGCATCTCATTACAGTGTCCTGTTGCACTTCTACACACAAACACTCATGCACACACACAATAAATCCACTGTATTTTATTAGAACTATGTGTATGTTTGCAAGTGGAATGAGTCAGAATGGAGACTTAAGTCAAGTTTTTGTAGCTTTGAGTCGTCAATACTCAACCTGCTTCATGCTTTAGTTAATGTCTTACCTTATCTCTCTCTGTATTTTTGTGTTTGTTTGTGTTTGTTTGTTTGTTTGTACAGGCTGGAATCGATGGGGAGAGCATTGGAAACTGCCCCTTCTCCCAGCGCCTTTTTATGATCCTCTGGCTGAAAGGTGTAGTCTTCAATGTCACCACTGTGGACCTCAAGAGGTAATCAAATGTGTTCTATATCGTAACCCTACAATACTTCAATAAATCACAGGGGGGGAAAAAATAGATGGATGGGAATAGATATCACTTTAACATAATTAAAAAGGGCAAAAAACAAGTTATTCCATTGAAAAATCTCAAGAATTCTCTAAAAGGGTTAATTTGATAAACCCAGTGCAGAGGTGCAACAACAGGCAACTGCTTGGGGGGCCCCCAAGGGCTGACAAACTTTAAGCCTTAACAGTGGCTCAAAATTTGAGTTTGCAATGGAAAAGGAATATTTGAATATTATCACCTATCTCAAGAAATCATTCCATTTAATGTCAAATTAGAGTTTAAAACATGATTCCACTCTGATTAGGAAACCTGCGGACCTTCACAACCTGGCTCCAGGGACTCATCCACCTTTCCTCACCTTCCAAGGGGAAGTTCTCACTGACGTCAACAAAATCGAGGAGTACTTGGAGGACAGGCTGGCTCCACCAAAGTAGGCCCAACACACATGAACATACAAAGCAAAACGGAAAAAGAATTGGAGAATGTTAACGTTGGGTTTCTGATTCTTAGATACCCCAAACTTGCAGCAAAGAACCGCGAATCCAACGCAGCTGGAATCGACATATTTGCCAGGTTCTCGGCTTACGTCAAAAACACAAGCCCGGCTCAAAATCGAGGTAAGCACTTTGTATCTACCCATGAGTCTGGTTTTGCTTTTTGAGATTTCAACCTGTTAAAGGGAAGCTTCCTTGCCAATGTTTCCAGGTGTTTGGTCATTGGTGGGCTAATGTTGGGTAGTACGGTTTAGACCTGCTTTACATATAGTTTTCTTGGGGAAAAAAAACAAGAATCATCTGCATCCAGTCAAGAAATATCCATTTAAATCCAAAACAGCAGTAATTCATCAACTGTGATAACCTGTGGATCTGTTTTATTGTGTGTGTTTCAGCACTAGAAAAGAGTCTAGAGAAGTCCCTGGCAAAGCTGGACGACTATCTAAACAGTCCGCTGCCCGACGAGGTTCAGGACGGACAGCACAGAGGCGACGGAGTATCCAACCGCAAATACCTGGACGGAGACGAACTGACGCTGGCTGACTGCAATCTCCTGCCCAAACTTCACGTTGTCAAGGTAACCTGCTCTTGGATTGGTGTATTTTGGTGTAGATTCAACACATCACGTTTTTAGCCCGGCCTGATGGCAGTTCACCAATGAGTTTGGAAGTGTCTGCTTATGGCGACTACAGTTGGGTCTCTTTAGAAAAGTATTAAAAGAGTAATATCTAAATCTCTATTTTAAGTGTCATTGGAATTTCCTGCTTTATTTAAAAAAAACTGATTGATTGATTGATTAATATCTCAAATACTTGTTTTTGCCAGGTGGTTGCAAAGAAATACAGAAACTATGACCTCCCGTCTGAATTCAGAGGGTTGTGGCGTTACCTTGGCAATGCCTACAGCCGCGACGAGTTCACCAACACATGCGCAGCAGACATGGAAATTGAGCAAGCCTATAAGGACGTAGCAAAGAGGTTGGGAAAATGAATGCCTCTAATTAACACTCACTATTGTCCCTAATCTCCTTTTTAATACTAATGTACTGAATGTGTTTAAATAAAAAAACATAGTTTTAAAGGGGATGTTCTAATTATTAAAGACCTTGTAATCATGTAATCACAATTTAGCTACAAAGTAACTGAGCATGCTCAGATTGGAGGTTGGGGTCATGTTTTTAACTGCTTACCATTAACGCAGGAGGTAAATTCAAAAGATTATTGGGTTTAAATGTGTTTTTCTGCTTTAATTTAAGTTGCAATCATTTGATGTCTGGCTAACGAGCTAACTACTTAGCAACCTTGTTTTAATGGCCATTGAGCAAATTGGTAATTATCTGTTCTAGGATGTGGACATATTAGCATGTTCCATCTAGCACCTGGAGTTTTCAGTATCTTTGTAGTATTATCCATGTCGGCTCTATGTATGCCAAATAGATCAGTTAGCCCTCCCCTTCAAATCCTTTCCTTTCCCAGTGTTATAAGATAAATTTATTTTTTTGGTAATTTTAAAATAGTACAGGACATAAGCTACACTGCCACAGGGGCCTGTGCTTGAAGATTAAATCTTTCCTTATCATACTTTAACACTGGGACGAACAAGCTAGCACGGGGAAATGCAGAATTAGCCTGTTTCTTATAGAATTATATCCCATCGTTTAATATCAATTGAACGTTTAAGATCCCTTTTACAGTATTTGTGTTTTAGATGAGTTGACTAAAAGCTTTAAAGTCAGCGAGAGAAAGCTTTTTCAAGAGCTGGCTAATAATAACGCTAGCTGCTAACTAGCCAAATTTGCCATTTAAAGAAACAATATGTAACTTTTCCAGCTTGAATAGTACAACAACTTTAAACAGGGGAAAAGCAAGCGACAGTGCCTTGTAGAGCGACAGAGAGGAAAATAGAAAACGGGGTAAAAACATTGCGCTGCGTCACGCTGCGTCCTCCGCAGGCAGTTTGATGCTGACGCTCGCTCGCGTCGCATGCTGTTAAGACACGGTGTAACCTTTGGTGGGCACCAAAGCCAGCCAAAGCAAAGTCCTACATATTGTTGCTTTAAGCTTGCAAAGTCAATGGTAGACGGATAGAAATGGGAATCCTGCGTTTGTCATTATTTGTCTGAAACCAGCAAAATATTGTTTAAAAAAAATAACCAGGAAGTTTAAGCAGGGAATTTCTTTTTCTGCTCCTACCATTGTGTCCTTCATTTGTGTTGTGTAAGAATGAAATGGGAAACAGTCAATGACAGACTATTTCAATTTGAGGTCATTCATTTGATTTACTGCGATGCAGATTATTTTTTCTTCTGTACACTGATCGTCTCCTTACTTTTGCTTTCCCATTAAAGTTTCTCAACTTCTGCATCACCTAATAAAAAAAAATAAAAAAAATTGTCAATCAATACCTGAAATAATTACAGTCGCATTGTTTCAGCTTAAAAACAAAACAACGAACCAAGTTTACACCCCCTGTTGTGTTGTCTTGTTATTACGAGCAAACTGAGAATATGTATAATCACGAGTGCCTTAGAGGAAATCTGCTCTGCCTTCAATGTCTGTAAAGTAAATGATGTTTGAATATAATATGAATGTCATATGCCTTGTACTGATCATTTAAACAAAGTATTGCTGAAGTGGATTGTGGCTATATTCATATTCTTTCTGATAATTAGAACCATGAACCCACTGTGTTTACGATGTCACTTATTTGAATAATAAATCTATTTTCTCAGAGACTGAGTTTGAAATTTGTGTTATTTTCCCACAGGAAGCTAAACTAGTGGATGTATGAAATATGCTACACAGGCAATAAAATAATATGTATGGACTGTTTGTCTCATAACAAGTCAAGAGAAGTGTAAGGTTGTACAAACGGGTTTAAAAAAAAATGCGACACAAGAAAGTTTTGTGATCAATTTGATTGATCTGGTGTGTCTTCAACAACTTCCTAAGTTACTATCAGTGAGCGGTAATTTGGAAGGAAAACTCTTAGTTAATTTTCTATTAGTTCATGTAGAATAAGGTAATAAATAACACTTCATAATGACTCTTAAGCAGCCAGTATGCTACCAATATGCATGCTAATAATACATTTTAAAAATATATAAATATATAAATAATTTATTTATATAAATAAATAAATGTTAAAAATAATAAATTAATTAATTTTATTTAGATTTTAGATTTTTAATTAATAAATAAAAAAATAAAAAAATAAAAAAATAAGCAGCTAGTTAAGGGTGAATAAGGTGACCTGAAGTGGTACCACTGGCTCTTATGTATGAATTGTGTAGGTAAATAGTCTATGGCAGTGGTTCTCAACTGGTCTCACCTCAGGACCCACAACAAGCTCCTTTATGAAAAATCCCGACCCGACTTTCAGATACTTTCAACCAATCAGATTTGTTCAATGAAAACATTTGCAGTTTGAATCCCAGACAGTGAAACCAAACAAAACAAACATTTTGGAAAAGCGCCAAGATTTCTTCCAGGCACACATTAGCAACCCACTGAAAATGGCTCTGCGACCCACTTTCGGGTCCCGACCCACCAGTTAAGAAACACTGGTCTATCATATTGTCTGATGCTTGACTTTTTCTTCCCAGGATATGAAATATTTTTAAAATAGATGACCATCTTCTTTTCTTATTCACTCTTTTTTTTTGTAACTGTCCTGAAACATAGCTACTTTATTTAAATATACTAATTTAGTCTGGATCTTTACATAATTACTGGCTGTGGTAGAGCCAGAGAAGCACCAGGACACAGCAGTCATAACCAGAGACAAAAAAGACCTTAAATTATTGAGTAATACTTTACCTTTTAGCACTTTAAGCTAAACCCAATTTGTCCTTTAAATGATTCAGTAACTCAGCTAGCTTTCAGGCTCAGAATCACTGCAGAAGTATACAAAAAGCACAATGCTGTGAATCTGAAGCTCTGTGAGTGTGTGACAGCCAGCAGATGGCAGTAAACACAAAGCTTTTAATGGTCTGCGAGTGTATGTTCACAGAGTTAGGGACCGTCCTGTTTTGTTAAACTAACTTGAAGTGGCAAATGCTACTATTAGTTATGCTAAATCTGCCATGCAGTAGGTAGAAATTGAAGATTTAAGCAAGTTTCATATAATGGGAAAGTGAATTTACTAAAATATCATTTGGTGAATGGTAGAATGCATAATAATTTTTTTAAACATTTAAGTTACCCATGAAATTAAAATAGATTTTCACATTTAACATCCAGCTTTCCTCCGTTAAATGCTAATTGATCTGCCATGATCTGCAAAATATGTTTCCATAAAGCATTATCTGATTATTTTTTAACATCAAAGTATTTTCTCTTTCTGTAAAAGAGCTGAAGTTGCACTCAGGGGCGTTTGCAAATTTTTCTATACATTTTAAAGCTTTGTCATAGCTAACGATCCAATCAAATTCATCCCAACGTTATGTCCCGCCTTCTATCTTGTGGTTGGTTCTACCCCACAGTTAGATACTCTTGAAGTTCAGATTTGGGACTCTTATTAATTGGCTTTCTGTAATAGGGATGAGTTAAGTTAAATTTCAATGCCCTCCTTTGAAAATGCTCCATTGGCTTTGGATATCCTAGCGGTTATGGAGGCTATAGTCCTGGAACAACTCTATAAAAACTCTCTAAAAATTGCCCAATTACAAATTACTTAATTAAAAGGAAATGCTCCATTGTATTATTTTTCTTTTTAAAGGTAAAATAATGCAATTCACTGAATAAGCTTCTATCACGATTGAACTTTTAAAATCTATAATAACAATGCATTACATTTTGATCTTTGATGAAGCAACTAAATTATTTCTAATAAGTCGCTAAAAGTTGTCAAATAAATATTGTAGGAATACAAATAAAAATATGAGGGTCAAAAAATAACTTAAGTATAAATAAATAAATAAATGTTGGGAGAAATGCATACAATAATGTAGAAATAAACAAATAATTAAATAAATGCATCAATAAATATATAAATATATAAATGCTGAAAACAATACATCAATGAATAAATAATAAATACACTTTGTTAATGAAAAAGGCTATTTATATATTTTTACATGTATTTATTCATTTATTAGCGTATTTCTACAGTTATATATGTATCAATGCATACATTTCCACATTAATTGAGTTATTGATTTATTTCCGTATTTTTACATTTACACATCTATTTATTTCTGTGTCCAGTTCGTAAGAGGAAAAGTATTTATGTAAATTGGCTTCTGTCTGTTTTTCAAAATTGACCAATGCTACTTCAGTAACGTTAGGATGGCCCACTTAATTTACATACTTACTTTTCCTTGTACAACATGAACACAGAAATACATAAATAAATATATTAATATATTTATTTATATATTATTTTTTGTATGAATTGTTGCATTTATTTATATATATATATTTATTGATGCATTTATTTAATTATTCATTTATTTATACATTATTGTATGCATTTCTCCCAACATTTATTTATTTATTCATTTATTTATTTATACTTTAGTCATTTTTTGTCCTTCATAAAAAACTCTGCATTTGTGCAGAACTCTGATTTGATTTACATTTATTTCTAACAGTGCTCGATTTTAAATTCTACGTTTTTCTACAGGATGTTAACACTCATACGGTCCCTCAAGTGTCATTCGCCTTCTGCAAGTGGGCAGAGCAAACACAGACGCTCATGCTCTGTGGCTGGAATCTCTTCTTTCCAGTCTGCCTCAACACATCGACGTCTCCACTCGCCCATTCTCTGGATTTTTATGCCTCGTTCACACCTTAGAACAACATCGTGGGCTACCGACAAAGCCCAAATAGAAAGGTAAGATCCTGTCTTTTAGCGGAACGACTCAGCAGGTCGTTTCGTGCTCCATTGTTCGGGACGTAGAAGAAGAGGAGGAAGAGGCGCAGTGTTCAGTGTGTGTGTGTGTGTGTGTGTGTGTGTGTGTGTGTGTGTGTGTGTGTGTGTGTGTGTGTGTGTGTGTGTGTGTGTGTGTGTGTGTGTGTGTGTGTGTGTGTGTGTGTGTGTGTGTGTGTGTGTGTGTGTGTGTGTGTGTGTGTGTGTGTGTGTGTGTGTGTTCGGGAGTGGGCGACTTGTCATTGCGGCGCTGCGTGTGTTGTTGTGAAAGTGTGTGTGGTGGTCGACCGTGGCAGCTAGCCCCTAGACGACGGGAAATGTAGCTAATGTAGCCGCAAACAGCGATAGCTTGCAGGTACGTTTGCTAGCGGTAAGAGGCTCCGCGGCTAACGGCGGCGCTAGGTGATGTTTACGGACAGTTAGGGAACCCGAGTGTTAATCACCGCATCGAGTAGGGGGTCCCATTGTTATTAAACTGCAGGGTTAGCTAGCTTAGTGTAAAGCAGACATTTACTGTATACCTGCTGGATGTTTATACAGGGGAACATGTGAACAGGTTGTTGATAAATAGCCTACTCTGCTTCATTGTCAGGTTAATGTTCCTACTTAGAGGATACTGTGTTAATTATGCTCGTATGTTTTGACCGGAAATTGATGAGCTCTTGCCTTGTTACTGTGAACAGGTACTATTTTTTTTTACTGCACTCGCCTGTGTGACAGCAGAGGACGATAGACAGACAGAGTTGCTCTTACTTGAATCTTCAACACTTTAATTATAGAGATGTAAGTGCGGTCAAATTAATAACCTGGGCATTTTTTTTACAATGGAGGGTACTGATTGAGAGAGATTATTTTTTGTCCAGGTCCTGTCTGTTTCAACTTGTGGTGTTGCGTTTGAATGACACTCAGAAAAACGAGCAGCGAAAGTTAATCATGTTAATTGATGCCACTTGAGTTCTTAACGTCTTAAGAAATGCGTAGTTGGATTTTCCGAGTTACGCATGAAGATCATGTGCTGCCCATTTCAAACCCTCTTAAAATGACCAACAGGCTCCACCTTTTAATGTCTTAGTGACAAGTTAATATAGGGACAGTGAGAAGTGATTTTCTGCTCTTGTGTGCATTAGGTCACTCTTTGCAGAAGCACTTAGCTCACCAGTGCAGTCCAGTAATTTTCAGCCTGCGCTGTTAGTGGCCTCATGTAATCAGGTTATGACATGCTAATTTAATTATATGAGATGTATATCATGTCATTATCATGCAGCAGGCTGCACATGCTTTCAACAAGGAGTCTTTCACAGCAGTCAGATACATATTATTTTAGTCAATGTGACCCAGATGAACACTATGCTGAGTGAGTGACCATCCCAAGGTGAGCCTGCTTTTATAAAGAGCTCTTTCAGCCACCTTTTTTTTTCTAGAGCCCTTGGGATTCTAAATCCAGAAGGAAAAAGGAGCTTTGCTTTGGTGGCATGCTTCACTGCAAGAAATCGTTGGAGGGTGTTGTGTTTGTGGGAGGGGGGTTGCATTGGGTGGAAATCCAGCAGTGGCAGTGGAGGGATGAAGAGGGAGGATTGAATATGGAGGCATGGGGGGGGGGGGGGGGGGCGGGAACTGGGCTGTGGTGATGGATGCCAGGCGGGGAAGTGGAACACTTGGCCTTTTCTGTGATTTAAAGGCCTCCTGTTCTCTCAGGACAAACACACATACACACTTGAGGTCAAACTCAGGTTTCAAAATCAGCTGTTTACAAGAAGATGTGCCAGGTGTGTAGCACTTTAGATTGAAACCAGACTCCAACTATAGTCACTTAACTCTTTAAGAGTTCCTTTTTTATCTCACTCACTCACTCACTCACTCACTCACTCACACACACACACACACACACACACACACACACACACACACACACTTCATTTATTACAGTCAATCTATTGTTTTGATGTCTGCAGTTGCAGAATTCTCACCATGTTTCACTTCTGAGCAGCAGTTCATTGGAAGAGCAAGCCACAAACCCTACAGTACATTTTATGGAAAGTAGTTTTCACATCGAGGCCGGTGACTTACAAAATAAAGAAGAAGAGGTAATAAAGGGAAGATCGGGGATTTCCAAAGGGCTTTTATGGTAACCTCAAACATGACTCATGTCCTCAATTTCATGCCTGTGTCCTGTGTGGGTTTTGAAAGAATTTACTCATAGGTAGAATATCCAACTCTTAAGTAGGTTTTCGACACATGGCTACATGGAAATGTCATCAAGGTGTTTGGGTTTGCTTCAAACTGGTGACTTCTTCTTTCAGCAAACCAAAAGTATGCCCTGTAATAATAGAATACCTATAGGTTATTGATACATCAGTGTTGTAAAAGAGTCTGGTACCTGCATTCTAACAACAAGCTAATGTCACCAACAGCCACTCACTCACTCGCTCTTTGTTTGCATGACATCAAGTTATCTCCTGACACTTTGCAAAAAGCAGGTAAAATACCTGACTCACTGCTAATGTATCTACAAAGACACAGCATGCATTCATCATGAGCACTAAGCAACATTTAGCAAACTAAAAAATGTCATCTTGGGCAAAACCAGACTCATGATGATCAGCCATCTCGAGCTTGAAGTATGAGATAGAGAGAGAGAAGAAGGATTGGGACAAACAGGAGGGGGGGGGGGGACCAATAGCAGCAGGCCGTCCCCACCAACAATCCGATCGGTAATAAGGCTCAATCATAGTCATTATTGTTTGAAGAGTATGTCCCAGATTCGGTCGTGCTGGTCAAGGCATCATGAAGTCAGGGGCGATTCTAGGGTCTGTTGGGGCCCTATAGGCAAAGGTTCACTGGAGGGGCCCTTCCAATGAATTTCCCTCTTTTCTTTTCCCACCCCCAGATGGAAAACTCCTCTTCATTTTCCTTCATTGACATCTGACAGCACTCCCCATTGTCGTTGCTAAATTTGCACAATTTGAGTCAATGCTTTGGTTTCAAAGTTTTTCAGTCGTTGTGGGCCCCACCTACTGGCCTGGGGCCCCAAACAGTTGCCTGTTGACAAGCAGCGCCTCTGCATGAAGTCATCTATGACGGGCTCTGACTTCTTTGCTGGCAGGCCCTGGCAGTAGTTTGTGTCATACTTTAAAGTATAAAATCACATAAGGATAAAAAAAAAAGTGAGGACATTTTGCCACTCCTGACTTCTTTAAAGGGGTTTAAGGGGATTTGGATTGCATTAGGAGTGCAAATCTGAATTAGGATTAGCGTTATGTTTGGGGAAAGTGTTATGAGTTAGCCTTCGAGAGAGAGAGGGGGTTTGGGGGGGGTTTCAAGTTGTCACTGAAAGCCTCCACAGGCATGGTATAAAATGCGCATGTGTATCATGCATGACAGGTGATTGCAGCGCTGGAATCATAGAAAACATTTGTAAAGTTTGCCACTTTAAAAGATGAATTTTAACCCTTGAGGAGTGTATATATGCACTCGTTTTTTTCACACGTAGGTCATGTTCATGCTGTTGTCTGCTCGCTGCTATTCATGACATGTCAGTGCAAGTCTGAGGAAAGTGACACCTTAGCAGTGTTTTTAAAGTTGTTAATGTGACCATGACAATGGTGTTCAATTCAGCCAGTCCCCACCCCCCCCCTCCTAGCAACCTAAAAAGTGCTGAGGCGATTCCTTCTGCGAGTACAGTCAAGGGTTCACTGATTCTCACCAGTGTTGGAGACAGGCCAGGCTTTGCAGGGTGTTTTAAGCTTTCCGGAGGGGGGGGGGGGAATCTGCTCGATCACATCAACCTCTTCCTGAACTGTCTCATGCGGTCACACTCGATTGGATTTGGACTTCAGCTTCGGAGCTGTGGAGGTCAGCGTTGTCAGATGGTGTTTTTTTTTTTTTTTTTTAAATCAGGTGTTCACAGCAGGTTAGGTATGTGGTGAGGAAGTGTTACGGCCGTTTCACACATGTACTTCAGCTCTTAACGTGTCTGGACCTGTCACAGATGAGCTACTGTACATGTGAGGACAAACTTAACATTGTGTGTGTGTGTGTGGGGCACTGAGTGTAACTGAGCAGTCTGAATTGAATTGTCGGAAGAATTCACAGGGAATAAAGTGGTGATATGGTGAGTTACAGTGTCTGGACATTTTTCTCAGACATTAGACCTTTCCAGACTTTCAGGCTTTTTTTGTAACAGTGCCGTATAGGGCAGGTTAAAAACACAGATTCATCAATTCATTGCAATTATTAATTTCCCAATTCAATATCGATTCAGCAAAATTTCGTTGTAATGACACCCCCCTCCACTAGGGGCACTGTGGGCAGTTCGAATTTTTGTTGTAATGACGCCTCTCTCCACTGGGGGCACTGTGGGTAGTGTGAATTGTTGTTGTAATGAGACCCCTCTCCACTGGGGTCACTGCGGGTAGTTTAAATTCTTGTTGTAATGACACCCCTTTCCACTGGGGGCACTGTGGGTAGTGTGAATTTTGGTTGTAACGACAGCTCTGTAACACCTCTGTTTCTACCTTTGAGGAGGGTACAGAGGGTGGGATCACTTCATTCTCACTATTATACCTCCACAACATTTAGACTGATGGTATAACATCACAGGGACACATATGTCGAAGCTTGAAACAGGACTCTGAACAGGGCTACTGTGGCTTTTACAAAATGATGATAGAGCCTTTGTCCCTCAAATGGTAGCCTTTCTATTTAAATATTCTTAACCACTATGTGTGAAGTCAACACAAGTGAGACCAATGACATGAGAGTTTATTGTGACACAGACTATGAAATATATTTTGGATAAAGAGATAAGGGTTTGTATGATGCACATCATGTTTTAAGTTTTGATTATTTAATGTCATCTCTTCCAGCATGGTTGCATCTATGGGAACAGGACGGATAATTTGATTTCTGCGGTCTCATGAGCATGAAATCGTTTAAGAACACAGATCACACGCTGCTACACAACA